GTGGAGGTGGATCAAAAAAGGGGGCTGGACTTCCGAAAAGCGATCACCTCCGATTTGGCTTATATTCAGCCTAAATACTTATTTTATCTAGTAAATAATATTCCCAAATGGATTTTTGGCGCAAATGCCTCTTTCGCCTCCCAGCCCCCTTCAAAGGTTCAAAAATAAAACTGTTTTTGTTAATTATTTCAGAAAGTATTGATTGTACGAAAAAAGTTGTCAAACAAAAAATAAAGCTCATAAAAAGCTCTACAAATAAGGTTTTATACATATTTTATCTAACTCCAATACTTTAGTCATTTTAACAATTAACAGTCGCCATATTGGATCCGCCATTTTGAATTTTGCAATTTTGACAACAGATTTGAATTTAGCAGCCCAAAAAACCTTAGGATATAAAGTTTTGTGCAAATCTGTTGAAAATTAGTGGAGTTATTTAGAAATGTACATATATGATACATTACCACGTTTGACATTTTTTTTTGTACATATATGATACATTACCACTCAACTGGCTAGGTAATGTTATCTTCGAATTTCTTGGATTTTCTTCCTCTCGTCGATCTTCGTAATGTAGGTGGGGCTGTATTATCCTGGATGTTCGGCTTAAATACCGAATCATTAAGAATTGGAAAACCGGAGAACCAGATTCGAGCGCATTTTGTTCAACTCCGACAATTTTTCTAGTTGTGACAAAAATATCGGAATTTGGACAGCGACAAAACAAAAAATGGCTTGAGATTCACGCAATATATTAGTTTCTAATCGCCTACAACTAATCTACGAATGATTTTTCTTTTTAAAATAAGCACTTATTTTCAACGTCTCTTTTTTTGCATAAACACAAAGCAGAAGAAAATCACCCTTTGCACTGGTGATATTTGTTTTTGCGTTCTATATCCGTCTCTTTCTCTCTCTTTCTCTCTCTCTCTCTCTCTCTCTCTCTCTCTCGGCTATTAATATTTAAGAAAAAAAATTTTCTTTATACTTACAGTGACCATATTTAAGCTTCCAAAGACGACACCTATAGCTGTCGTCGTTATCGTAGTGAAAATAAGAGGCCGTACCGCACTAGTCACTTCTGTTGTGTATCTAAAAATAATTTATTTTAATATTTAATAATATAAGAGAATTCTAAGCCATGGGACAGTGAGAGGATGTGGGAGAAGAGGGAAGCAGGGGTTATCAGATTACACTAATCCATAATTGCAATAATCCAAAATGCAAAATCAGCAGCTTTCAAAGGAGTGAGAGGAAATTACCGAAGAGCATAGATGCTTTTTTTGAAAATCAACAGGAGTGGGGATAGATACAAGTTACACAAGTCTACTCTAGTCTACACAAGTCTACTTGCAAAATGCAAATTCAGCAGTTGTATGGTAGAGAAAGAGGAGATTAAAAATTTAATCAATATCGACAAGAAAAGAGGGGGAGATTACCAAAAAGTATAAATACTTTTTTGCAAGAGGTTGCATATTTTTTAAAATGTTTACAGTATTTCTAAAGAATTCTGTAGTTTGTTCCATAGTTTTTTATGAAACCAAAATACTGCATCAGCATTTTCAGTGCCATTTTGCGCCGTTGTCAGATTTTAGATTATATCAATTTTTAAAACGACGCGTCATAACTTTTTAGTATCGTTTTGGGCCGTTGTCAGATTTAAGGATTACGACATCATAGTCTTTAATTACTGTCGTGTGCAAATAGCTCTTAGCAACATGACAGATATATGATGTTCGCGACAAATATGAATTATTAAAGTCATTTAAAATGGAGACTCTCGCGCGCCGTTCGAGCAACGAACATTAAAACTTTGGAGAACTAGTTAAAATCGTGTCAGCAGTATGATAGTGTGTGTAAAATCAATGTGAACACAAATAGAAAATGTGATGAGAGTAAACTTATCGGAAAAAGATTTTGAAGAATTTCTATAATTTCTGATTACGTTATACAATTATTATGCTAGAGATGTGCAGATGAACTTTTAACATGAATAGAGAATAAATATGTCAAATATACAGGGTGTCCCGTAACTCACGGACCAACGCTCATGAGCGGATAGAGCACATTAAACAGAACAGAAAAGTTCTTTACCATTTTGCAATTTTCGCAATAATTATTTAAGTATTAATCAAAAAAAGATGGGCGCGATACGCGCGGGCAGCGACTCTCGGTTTTTTGTATGTCATGTGAAGGCCTCAAAACTTCCTCTATGCAAAAGGAGAAGAGCGACAAATCATTTCTAGCTTGGCGAGAATCGTTTAAGTGATTTTGGGGGTGGTTTTTCGGGTATAAGGGTATCTTCCAACGCATGTATCGAATCGGTCTTTTTTGTATGTCATGTGAGGGCCTCAGAACTTCCTTCCTGCAAAAGGACAAAAGCGACAAATCATTTTTTTAAAATCGCTGCAGGAATGTTCCAAGCTTCAACCAACTCAATTCCATTTTCATGGTCTTTTTTCAATTTTTCCGTACTTTCCCCGGTGTCTAGAGGAAAACAAACTTTACCATGTGATTCTACGGTATGAAATCTATAAGAAACCATTTGTAGTTTTGGTTCCACACCATGGGCCAAAATCGACCTATATTTAACATCCTCCTTTACCGTGTGACACTCATCGCTGGCACGCGATGCTACATCCTACGATCTAGCCGCGCAAAAGGAGCGCTTATTCGCCCATCTTTTTTAATTAATACTAAAATAATTATTACGAGAATTGCAAAATGGTAAAGAACTTTTCTGTTCTGTTTAATGTGTTCTATCTATTCTCTTCACGAGCGTTGGTCCGTGAGTTACTGACACCCTATATACATTCCATGTCCTATGAACCTAGGATCTACAAAAGAGATTTACTAGACATCAAATGTATTTGCCTAAAATTGTAGACGATTGGATTCGATAAGAAAATATAAAAATAATATCTCTAAATCTCGTTTCTTAATCTATGTTTAGCTCCTATTTATTTCTTAGAGACGCTGCTGGTCATAATAACCAATGAAAAAAATGATTTTTAATATTGTGACTTTTATGTAATATATTTATACGTGTAAAATTAAATATATAACAAGACTCAAATGATTAAAACAATCAACTAAATTAACAGGAATGCAAAGAGTCAGAATGCAAGATCTTCATGCGAAAGATTATACATATAATTATATTAGAAAGTATATATTTACAAACGTTTCGACCCGACATCAGGCTTTCTTCAGTGTACAATAACAAATAACTGTAGCATTAACATCTTGACTTTTATTGTAACAAGTTCTCTTCTATCTCAAATTTACTATAAGCAACAAACAAGATTATGGACTTCAATTTTACAAAGTTAAATTTTATTAAGCAGACTACACTAATTGCATTTACATTATATCGATTTTAATACATCATTATTTTTTATTGAAATTTATCGGCGAACATTATCATTTTTATTTTATTGACATTGAAGATGTAATTTATTAGCAACCGTTACTTTTTGTGATCTATTTACTTGACACTGAAGATGGCCTGATATCAGGCCGAAACATATGTTTCTATATTTTAATACAAATAGTTCGCACTAATAACAAGTGTTTTAGCTCTTGCTCCTTCTACATTATAATTGTTTTAATTATTTCTTTTAAACTATTGCATATTAGCAAGAGTTTACATATTACAAATATATTACAAATTCGGTCAAATAGATCTGAAATTTATTGTGTAGCCTTATGTAGTATTATTAAATTATTTGTGTCATTAGTTTGTTAGTAATAATTAATAGTGGTCTTACGCACCATTTTTAAGATACCACTAATGGCGCGATAGAGTTTTAAAAGTGGATCTTTGCCTGAAATCTTATTATACCACTTTTTATCATTGTACCTATTATAGCAGGTATGCCTTTAGACAAGATGTTTTTTATCAAGAGACACGGTAGTGTCTCGCGCCAAGTTCACGCGCAGCGCGCAACGCAAGCGCAAAACCGACCGTGTCTCTTTACGCGAGACGGAAAGTTCAGATGAGCCGAGATTATCGGATCTCAATAACGGCTGGGCCAATTGAGTTGGCAATAGGCTCAATCGAAAGCGCATACCTAAAATATATAACGAAAGTTTGCTTGTTTTTACTTTGTGTGCTTTATATAAATAAAATATATGCATTCAAAGTCGAGAAATCTAAAAAATTATCTTGCTAGGATGTATGTCGCGCTAGGATGTATGTCGCTTATGTCTTATTGGTCAGCGTCGTCAACATTTCTTTTTCTATCTAAAAGACGTCTTTCCTTTTCTAACATTTCTAACATGGCGGCGCTCAGACCTGTCAGCTCGCAGCTTTGATGATTTATTAATTACATTGATATAATTAATATTGGTCGTAAAATGTATATATAACGTGTTGTGGAGACGAATAAAAATAGTGTATATCAAAATAATAGTATTCTTCATGAAAAAAATTTTTTTCGATCTTAAAGTGCAGAAATGTAGCAAGACATGTTGACAACACTCAGTATTCTCTGGACTTAGTGGACAGACAGAAAAGAATAAAATTGACTGGAAATGATAAATATTGTTAGAACTAATTTAGTATACATAGAACAGAAATATTAAACTTTGATATTTAATTTTGGAAATTATGCAGAATACCCACGTCACCTCCGATTTTGACCCAACTGGTCTCATTCGATGCGTTTTTTCTTTTAAAAAAACTTTTTCCTTTTACTAAAATGTCGCTCTGTCCCAGGGGACGAGATATTAAGCGTCAAAGTTGACGACTTTTCAGGTTAAAAACCTGTCACTTTGACGAATTATAGCGATGTGAGCATACGCTGCGGTCAGGCGCGCATGCGTTGTAACAGAATTGTGCGCGGATAATCATAAATTGCAAGTCGCAAACTCATATAAAATAGTATAATTATGGACCTTGCTTTGCGTAGACACAGGGTATTCCGCCCCCCCTGCGGGGGCTTCTTCCTTCCTGGATAATGGAGGATACAGCTCAGCAATTAAGTCGAAGAAGTTTTCTATTCGCTCACTGAAAGCATGAGCGCGTTTGTATAGAAATTCGCACAAATATCCCTCAAGATGAGACTCTCGCGTTCCATATCTTGGGATATTCGCGCGAACTTCTCTCCAAACACGCTCAATATGCTGTGTATGGGCGCCTGTAAATAAAAAAATACTGTAATACATTGTAATATATACATTGTTAACTTTGGTAAACGTATCAAAAACTTTCGATATATTTTAACATTTTACTTTGTTTTAAAAATTTCTTACCAGTATCTGGATCGACGAAATTGTATGTATGATTAACATTCAAATGTTGGAAGCCTTCACTGTTTAAACAGTCATAGGACTTCCAACAATCTGAAATAATTGTCGTTCCTGGCATGATCCATTGTTTAATACATGCCAGGAGCGTCTTTTCTGATCGATCCTCTACTGGCATAATAAAAACCTTCTTCGACTCTCTCTCGTATCCCCCAAAGATCCAATTGCCTTTTACAAGGCGACCACGATTATACTTTCGATGGCCAATTTTTGCCTCGTCTATTTCAACAGTATGTCCAGGACCTCCAAGTTTCTCGCTTTGCTTGTCGGCCCAGTACGCACAGACTTGTAAATGTACAAAATATTAATTATATGTACACATATATACATATATATATATATATCGTCGTAATTAACTTCGTATAGCATACATTATACGTAAGTTATACG